TGAGTGAAAAATCCAGTGATATTAGAAAAGTTTATTTAATGTTATTTTCGGCGTTTTAAATTTGGCGTTTCTCGCAAAGTTTCGAGAATTTACTTCGAAATATTTGAATATTAAAATATTGCAAAGAAAGTGCGTTGCAAGAAAGTAGCGATTACCCTTAATTTTAATTTTCAAACAAAAATCCAGTGCTATTGTAAAAGTATCACGAGACACTTGATCCATAAAAATAAGAATACACATTTATTTGATATATTTGCGTTAAAGATATTTCCTTCGAATTACCGAACACGAGCAGTATCTAAATTGATGTGCGGAAGAAATTTGATGTATGTGGTCATTGTCGCGTAAACATACAGAAATTTGTCTTTTTATTGCATTCTTCTTGGCGATGGCGCGTGATCGCAAATTAAACTTCCGTTCGCGTTCTTGCTTTGAGGGATTTTACAGCGAGGCTGGGTCCAATAAGACGTTGATAAAAAAGGTTAATGAAGGTTGAAGACGTGGTCATTCAAGTTACCCCGGCGCAAACCGTAACGTCGAAAACCTGTTTGTTCGGTCAGTGATAGCGTAACTTAACGGAACATCGAGGACATAAAGTATAAAATTATTGCGTTGCAACAATAATCCAAAGCATCTCTCGCGTGGAAATGTTCTTTGTGAAAGCGTTCGAAATCGTTTCTTTAAGCTATTTCGTTATCTGCTGCTTCTTCAGGAGGTACTTAACCGCTAATATTTTCAAGTTTATTTTATTCTACCATCGTTCAACTCGGCACCGTAACTGATACATTTGTAACGTTAATGTGTTGTAAAATTGTATTAATATTTGATTTTTAATCTTGCAAGTAGCAGCCTGAAGTTTGTTTAAATTGTTACGCGAATGTGAACTGTATCTGTCAAATTGTGAAAATTTAATACTAGAAGGACCAATTTCGTAACATCCCAAAAGTAAATTTTCGTGTGACTTAAAACGAGATTAAAAAATCTCTCATGTCGGCAGAAATAGAAATAAAGATGCAGAAAGTTGCAAACGATAATGCTTATCAGTACCGAAAATTCACCTTCTCTTCGGAAACTTGCCGATGGGTCATTTTTGACCCGGTCAATCCTGCTAGTGTTAAAAAGCACTTACTACACTTAAAACTTCAGAAATTTTGCAATCAGCTCTGTTTGTCACACAGTAAATAACATAATTGACATAAAAATCACCATCGAACGAATTCACATGTATTCATACAGATTGCAAATAATTTTTAATTTAAATCAGAGGGTAGAATAAAACGAACTGAAAACGGCGACGCAGAATGTCCAACTAATTTTTACACGTTCCACGAGAAACGGCGAGATGAAACGACAGTACGCCTGTTCACCGACAGACAATCGGCGGGAAATTTGAATGACAACCGACGTGGAACTCGAAGAATTTCCATTTCGAAGGCAAGCAGTTCCTCGACACCGGAGGAATGCGGGAAAACTTCTCCGGAACCATTAACAAAGTCAAGGTGATCCGGTTCTTCGTCTCGAGATTGCGCACGGTTATTCGATCATTTTCGCATTATCGTAGCAGCGTGGTCTCCTGTGAACTTGGTTCACGTTGTTAGACATCGATTTATGATAGCTCGGTTCGAATGAGGAGTAGTAGTACCAAGGCTGCCAAGAGTAAAGTTTCACGTACGTTCCTCTGTCGAGCGAGAACAACCTGCTTTGCTTTTCATTCTTGTTCCCCTCGTGGTGCTCGGTGGGGAAAGGTAAAAAGGTAAAAGAGGCAGGGCAAGTTGGGTTTCGTGCGGTGAACGAGTTGGTCAATCATCGTCGAGACGCGACGAAAACGCTTCGAGTTCCTTTAATTTCGGGATACGATGAGGTGTGTTTTTAGCGGCACGAAAGAAGCGCAGGCGAAATTTGTTAATTAACAGATGCGTTTTAAAGGAGCAGAAAATGTTTCTCGTTGGTGTGGTTGCAAGATTTTTCGCGAAATGAAAATATTGTAAACTCGCTGTTGTGATAAAAACGACGATGAACGAGCGCGTTGTTATCACAGGAGAAATGCACGGTACCGGCAGGGCGAAAGTGGCGAGATTTTTTGCGCGTGCATCGGTGCTGGGTGCAACTCGAAGGCAATTAACGGGTAAAAAATTTTCGGTGAAATCTGTTTTCAAGTTTTTGCGTATAATTGATACTTTATTGCTTTTCGATGGACGCGCGTGTAATCGCTGTTCATCTTGCAGTTGGAAGGTGATTTTTAGTCGGAAGTGAAAATATCATTTTTATCTAATCGAACTGTGTTTAATGGACGAAGTTGAAGGGAACGTTTGCCTTGTGTTGGACGTTAAGTTGGATCATAATAGCATTATTTTCACGAGTCGCAATAATAACACTGCTTCTTTCGATTCTTATGGATCATGGTTGTTACGTGGTTTTGTTGGTGTTAGGAAAATTCATGGAAATCTTCAGAAATCGAGAGGTCAGATTAATTTAAAAAATTGGCTGTTTATGCTTCTATTTACCTCACGGTTTGAAAATATTTGATCTCCGATTATAAAACTGAAGTTATGAGATTACCGTAAAATAATCTGCAAATAATTTCGCTGGGTACTTGAAACAATTACTATTATTACCACTTGCTACATAATTGCAATAGAAATAACTTGAAGAATGCAATCTGCACAGGTTCAGTTTTGAAAGTAACAAGTGGCAGCTGATAAGGTCGTTTCATTGTTTTTCAATTAGGTATAGATTCGTGTCTTCTCCAATGACCTCAGACTATTTAAAAAACGTAAAGATAGATGATATCTGTCCAACATTAATTTCTAACGAATTATTTACTTTTGGCTAAAATTCTATTTCTACTTTATCCCAGAAGTCGCAACGAAAAAGAATGCTATTTTAATTGAGTCACTCAGGAGGCAAAATAATTAACTCGACTTTTTCAAATTCTTCCAATTTTAGTATCAAAGCACATGCTTGTTGCTTCAAAAAAATTTCACAAATTTAATTTGACGAAGTTGGTTACTTCGGCTTTCGAGCTGCTCAATTGTCGTAAGTATCGCAATTAGCCAGCTTGAATCGCGCGAAATTCGATTTGCTTACTCGCAGAGACGTCGAATCGGTCCTCGTCCGGAGATAAGGAAAAATTCCCTCGAGTTAACCGCTTCCCGTGATTACCTTTCATTGACTTCCTCGTCTAGCAGTGACACGTATCATAGGAGAGACTGAAACGACCAGACAGGAGGTTTGGTACTGTTGATAATAGCGCACGACGCAGGCTGTGACATTTTCTGATTCAGCTTCTACGTTTCACTTATCTTCAACTTCGTTCCACGGCCGACGAAGCCTAGCGCAGATACCATTGCCGGTTTTGACGTTTCGATTCACGTGACGTTCAATACGATCGAACCGCAACTTGGAGGAATTGGAAGAATCTCGTCGACGATTGACAAGCCTCTAACCCTTTGGCCAATTTTTCTCTTTTGATAGTACAAGAAACGCTTCGTTTCTACGCCTGTTAGCCCTTTGACTTATGATTTTTATAACGAGCTAATTATTATTTTAACCCTTTGACAGTCCAATAAAATTATGAATTACGGCAAAGAAAATTTATATTTTACAGGTATTTTTTTAAATAATTACGTCGGGTGTGATAATCTTTAAAACAAGGGATACATAACCCTCGGTCTTAGTTATGACAATAATATCTCGTCCCTTTTTAACTTTTTCCTAAGTTGGCGAAGTAAGCAAAGCGAATGTATTATATATGTATTCTATACAATTTGATAATTTTCAGTGTTATAAATTAAAACTAAATTTAGAATTCAAATCAATTTTTGTTACTAACATCCCTGTTTCTGTTGCATCTTCGCCAGAATCTGTGCTCCGCAGAGTCTGACTCGTTATCAGGTTCGGGGTTAAATGATAAATTTCAAGTCGATTCGTTTCCCCCGGTTAATAGGTCAGTATTATCGTTAGAAAAATGCACGCAGAACACGTAATTTCGAATAGGCAAAGAGCGGAATAAATACTGACGAAAGAAAACAAAGATACAAATTAGCGTATATTTATAATTCAGCGTTAAACAATCTTCGGAATTTTCCCTCGAGTTTAATCGTCGTTGAATGGAAATTTTAACAGTTACTATTCTTTTCTTTAATAGTATGAACTGTTCTTCATAGTAACGTTAATGTTCAATCTTCTTATTTATACTTCGTCACGTTTATTTTATTTATGTCTTTATAAAATGTCACGTATCTAATCTTTCCATTTTTATCGCTCTTTTCTTCAACCCATTGTAACGGATATAGCGTACTGATAGTACATTACTATAAGAAATGTACATTTCCTAACCAAGATTAACGCCTCGACACACCTTTACCTTTCATTTAAAAAATCACTGTTTCTACCGTGAATTTAACGTTACTAAAACTTTATACGCACCTTACACCCCAGATTAATCTCGCGAGAGTAGTTGAGAAGTGAATATAACGGTTTTAGCCGAGAAAGAAAAATGTCAGCGATGTTTATCGTTCGGTAGTTCCCTTCGATCTAGTTATCGATACACGAGAAATGTCCTACTAAATTATAACTACGTTCTCATTGGCTGCGTGTTCAACCCTTTCGTGACTGCGTTATTCCGACCAGAATTGATCTCAATTTAGCATGCATTACGGACGCGATGATCGGTGGATAAGCAAACAATTTGAAAAGAAAATAAATTGCTCACGGAAGGGTTGAAGCGGATCGCGATAAGTTTGGGGTGATAAAAAATTAGGAACCAAGGATAATTTTCTCTAATTATTTAGAATTTTATTTTGCCACGCGAAATGTTCGCATTTATGTATTTAGAATTTTAGTTTTCGACGCTGCCTGCCATAAATCGTTTGGTTCCCTTTGCTCTTTCGTATCTTGAGAGGAAATGTGAGCATAATTAATTAACGAAACAGGCTGGATAAGATATTTCTACTACACACACGTTGCCCGGATACATATTTTCTCTGTTTAATTTCCAGGTGTACAAAGGCCTCGACATCATCACCGCGAAAGTAACGAAAGCAGAACAGTCGATGGTGCCACATCACATGCTGAATATCGTAGATCCTCTGATCCCAAATTTCACGGTGGTCAAATTCCGGGATATGGTTATACCCATTGTAAATTTTTCCTCTTTTTATCCTTCGTTACGTTTGTCGCGACTAATACACCGTAGAACGTAAATTACACAGCTAATCGTGAAAAATTCGAGCCTAATCAACGTCGAACCGTGTATCGAACGTTTCGAAAAATCCATTTCGCGTGTAACATTGGTATATCGATACACAATATCAGTGGAAAATCGAGTAAATGTCGGGCGAAATATCGAGCGAGACACACGGGCAACTTTCGAAACGCGCGTCTCGTTGCTCGAAAACCAGAAACGAGAATGGAAAAAATTGAATAAAAATGCGGCCCGAGTGGAATGCAATATTGGGCTCGCATACCATCGTCGTCGTCGTGCGTATAATAATAACTAAATTGTCGAGAACCGGCGATCGTTGGAAATCTCTCGATGGCATGCTTTTGAATTTTCACTTCTCTCGCGGGGGATAATTCTCGACACGCTTGGATATACACGGTGGAATTGGTTCTCTCTTGGCTCGTCTGGGATATTCATTCGTTCTCCCTGTGCTCTCCTTCCCTTTCTTGCTTCACACTCGCGAGATGATCGCTCGTTTTGCAAAAGAGGAACGCTTCGTAAAAAAGTGACTTTTCGAACGAAGCAGGACGATATACCGCGCGGAGGACCATGATAATTGATAATTTAGTCACGGCCTCTGTGGTAACGCTCTTCTACTCTACGTGTATGTGCACCAGCTTCAGCCTCCCTCGAAAGCTCCTGTCTTCTTCTCTGACCGATCTAGATCGACGATCTCCTGGCGAGGAAGAAGCTACCGATCATCGTCGGCGGCACCAACTATTATATAGAGTCTGTTCTGTGGCGCGTTCTCATGGCGAAGGACGAGCAGGTGGAAAGTAGAGAGGGAGAGGATGATGTCGAAGACGTGTCGCGTTTGAAAAAAATGAAGATCGAATTGGATCGATTCAGCTCGATAAGCAACGATCAGTTGTTCAACGAGTTGATGGAAGTCGACCCGGAAATGGCCAACAAACTTCATCCTAACAACAGGAGGAAGATCATTCGGTGAGTTACTGCTTAACTGTTTGATAGTAATTTATTGGTGAAAATGCAATAGCTGAAATTGTCGGGTTACTGTATATTGAATTTTCTTTTAATAATAGTGGAAAAATTCGTAATACAATTGTATATTATTATCTGACGTGACGAATAATCGAGATATTTGCGTAATTTTTTAATGTACGCAAGTTTGAACTTGGGAAGACTGTAGTGAAAATATAAATTTAGCAATTGAAGAAGGTTGTGAAAATGTTGGAACACCAGGGTGATGCGCAAAATTCAGAATTGGTGATTCTTGAACCAAGAAGAAGCAGTTGATGATAAAATTTTAAGAAAAATTATTGAGAAATATGAAATTTGTTAAATAAATTATTCGGAAATGAAGACACTGTAGAAGCAGCATTCGAAGAATATTTTAATTCAGAGACTAATGATTTTGGAATAATAAAATTAGTCAATTGCTGTGAAAAGAAATGATTTCGATTTAAATACATTAATTTTCGAAGGAACACAATGTATCTAAAGCGTTCTGTGCGCCAACCTAATAGACTTGATTCAGGAAAACGAGATAAAATAATTTTTTAATTTGTCGCTTTTATCGCGTTGAAATTCCACAGCAAGTGGCACTAGGATTAGAATTGTAGAAATAGTGTTACATAGTATCGTGTCATTTATCTGTTAATAGCGATATCTGGATAAGTGCAGATAAAAATGAGTGCAATGAAAACTTAAAACGCGTTCCATATGGCACAACAATAAAGAACGATAGTGAACAAAAATTTGATACGGCACTTGGTCGTAATCAGTAATTCAATGAAATTAAAAAAAGAAAAGAAAACAGTAGAAATGATAAAATTGTACTAACATTTTTTTAAGTTTCTCCATTCTTAGTATCCACTGTAGTTCCATTCTCTTTTCGTTACGCAATTAACATTCCAACGTTGTTACGTGGATCAAAATATTTAACAAATATTTAGTTGTTCCATTTTAGTCATATACTTGTCGAAAAATCGACTAAATTTTCATTGAAACAACCTGTTTTCAATATCAATTAGAGATAGAAATTTGCTGAATTTTTTTTTTTTTTTTTTTTTTTTTTTATTAGACATTTAAAATGAGAAAATAGCATTAGTTTAAATCAATTCTTTTTTGTCAATTAGAATTCCAATTTTTTTTAACCATAACCTAACGGTATAATATTAGCTGTGATACGTACGTCCTTGAATATCTCTTCACGCCAAATCAAACTGATTCAATTTGAAATCTCCGTCATCTTCAAATCTCACAGCACTCTTCAAAGAATTCGAAAAGGATAACACGTCTGTTAGATCTCTTGGAATTTTACGAAACGTGTCCTCGTTCGCAGAAAACCCTTCGTTCGGGCGATATTAATTTTTTCTCACGTTGAAAGCGGTCTTCGTCGGTCTCCATACATGTCAAAGGAGGATGTTAAAAGGCCAATTTTGGCATACGGCCGGAACAAAAATCTTTTTACAGCATGATTCTACGCATCCTAAGGAACGAAAAATGTAATTGTCATTTTTCCCGGAAATGATGGGAAAGTTATGAAAAATGCAGTTCAAGGTAAGAGTATGATCATACCTATAACTTAATATTAAAAAAAAAAACCCCGAGAAACTCATATTAAGTATTATTTACAAAGATTGTTGTACATTAGCGTTTAATAAAAACCAAAAATAATTAATGACAAATTAATCGAAACAAGGAATTTTCCGATGACACGATGCCTATATTCCAAGCAATCAGAAACCAATAGTTATTTATTCTCGAAGTGATAAAAGTCATAATAAACTATCGTAAATATAATAAAATAATCATCATGACAGGGATATAATGAAAAAGTAAGACTCTAACAGAATTTGCATTTCTTAACCGTGTATCCGGTGATTTCATTTCTCCACTAATTTTTACTCGCACGAGAGTTCTGTAAAAATACGAAACTTCTTCGTGTCTGCAAAGCAACTGTTTATTCGAGTCGTATCGAGTTGAGCGATGCTCTCGGACAGTCACTTTCAGACGCAGTGTCCACTCGAGAGCAACTCGCGATAGTTTTACTCTGAAAAGGACAGTGTAACGGTTTGAATTTAAAAAGGGCGCGTCTTTTTACCGTGATCGGCGTGCGTCCGCCGAGCGGCGTTGGGAGCGGCGACCGCGCATGCGTCGAGCGAAAAGAAGTATGGCGTATTGTTTTGTATTAAGACCACGTGCGTCGCGTTTGTTCTCGGTTTTGCCAATAAAAGTAATATAAAATCAGAAAATTCTTTTTCCGCTAACTCTTTTCTGTGCGCGAACAGACAGCTAGCTTTATGATTGACTCCATGTACGTAACGCGACCCAGGCTCGCGTTTCTTATGTTTGGCTCGCAAGAAATATCACGAGTTCTAAGAAGTTAAGGCCTAGAATTTTTCCCAGAACAGTTGCGAGCGTACAGCGATCAGAAATCGGACAGGACAACTCGTCCTCAGTCGGTGTTTATGAGGCTGTCGAACGAGTGCCTTGACGAACGACGAACGTCGCTTGTACTGCGCGATTATAGTCTTGTAGGGAATACAGTGCTCGCTCGAACAACGCGTTTTCGATTATACGCGGATTTCCAATCAATTTACGTACTTAGCATATTCGTTCGTGTGAATTAAGTGCCGCTGCATACAAGAAGCTAGTGCACCGAATTCAAGTACACAACGGACAGCTCAGCTTGGGACACAGCTACACAGCTACAGTTTCACGGTATGTGCATGCGTACATACGTACACAATCGAATGATTGACTTAATTGAAAATAGAGGAGAGCCTATGTGTAGCTAATTAGATCAATTGCTGCAACAATTTCGTTTTATCGTATCCTAAGTTTATTTTTCTTGCAATAAGATGTGTTATAGCTATGAAACAACAACAAATTAGGTTTTTTACTGTTGTCTCCCCGAGACATATACATATTCTATCCTTTTCTGGAAAAACACTGTCTCTTAGTAAACAACTAAGTCTTTACACACGACCTACTTCGTTTGTTATTATTCTAACGAAAATATACGGCAGTTGACACGCAGTGCAGATGATCAGACTTGAGTTTTCCGTAAAATCGGGGGATGGTTCCCAACTACGCGGACAGTCGACGTTTTTAAACCTACGCGTAGTTCGACCGAACACATATAGACTGATATGTAAGATGATACTTTTTCCTCTGGCTTTCATAGTTGATACACAGTCAAGAAATGCAAATTCTGTTGGAGTCTTACTTTTTTATTGTATCCCTGTCATGTTTATTATTAAAATGACAATGAAATTTTTCGTTCCTTAGGATGCGTAGAATCATGCTGTAAAAAAATTTTTCGTTCCAGCCGTATGCCAAGATTGACCTTTTTTTAACATTCTCCTTTGACGGCTAATGGGACGTTTTAATTTCGCCGATTGGATTCGAAGCTCAATTCGACCGTGATAAGCGTTTAATATTCATAGAAGGACTCCAAGTAGCTGGTAAATAATTTCACGAAATATTCATTCGCTAATTCCGGTTAATTATCCAGTAAAATTGATTTTCTGCGCACTTAATTATCACACCGAGCGCTGTTCGAAGTTTCACGAACTCGAGGGATCGTTATTGTTGAAAAATTTTGCTGTCGTTTGTCGTTCGCCGAGAGTTACAATTATTCGATTGGTCTCACGTGTTTTGTGTCGTGTACGAAGCTCGTTCGCGTTATCTCGCCAGATTGAAGCGAGATCTTCTTTACACTGGTTCTTTCGGCAAACAGGCAAAAAATTCTGACCTAGTCTCAATTTTCGATCAACTTGCTCTCGTTCGTACCAGAATGAACTGGTTGGTATATCGGCCTTGATAAAGATAAACAAGGTCCGTGAACAGGCTAATTTCATGTACTATTGTCCCACCAATTGAATAACCGATCGGTGTGCCGACACTGTGGCAGTTTACGCTTGTGTGCAGTCGCTTCAGTTAACCCTGAAACTACGAAATCAGTAGTGAATTAAATGTGCTTCTCAGCGTGTTTCCTAGTGTCATTCATACTTTGTGCAACCTACGAATTTATGCGAAAAATAGCTATTTTTAGCAAATTTAACACGTTCGTCGCCCAGCGTGAATCGGTCGAGTTTCTCGCGGGGGCCCAAATCCGATAGTCGGAGCGCAAGAACGTAAACAGAGCGATTAGCTGGAATTTGCGTTCTATGTTACCAGAAGGAGAGACAAATTCTCGAACGCCAGGAAGCGAGAAAAAATGTAAAAAAGACGACAACATATTGTCGAAAATCACCAGAAATGTGTTCGAACTGTTTTAACGAATACCATGCTTATTTTAAATATAAATTAATGTATAGTACAATACAGTGCGTATATTTTTAATTACTTGTAAAATCCTATTTAACTTGAAGAAGAACATCACCCAGATATGGGTGACGTGGCGACGAACGTGTTAACTTAGCTATGGAACTGTATACAAATTTTCTATAAAATTTTCAAGTTTGGGAATGAAAAAGTTGGCAGTCTAAAAAACAAAATCCACCTATGAAAAGAACTCTCCAAATCATTCCACTTTTATTTGACAGATTTTTCAGTATCACCAACAGTTTCTTAGATATTCAAAAATTCAATACTGATTTAATTGATACACCCAGTAGATCCTGATATACTTCCATTTTTCCACTCGCTGTCAGTGATGAATTCGGAAGTCAATGTAAAACAGACTTTCTCGCGTAACAATAAAGAAGCAGTTGGAAGAAACGAAGAAAGTACCGATGTGTCATTGTCAGATAACCTAATTGTTACGATAAACCGTATCAGCGGGATCACCGTTCGGTTTCTACAATTTCGTATCTTTATCTCGTCCACGTGTGGCATCGATCGGTCGGATAAATCGAAATCCGGCGAAACGGTCGAATCGTAAATAAAAGCGAACGGGTTACGGGATTCGCTTGTTGAATCGTCGCGGATCCGAATGCACTTGCGATTCGATAACGATCCGCTCGTGATAACGA